CTTGCGGCAAGGTTACCTTATGGACCCATTCGAATTCACCGCCTTTGGTGTCAAAAGTTCCATGCTGTAAAGTAACTAACTTAAGCGTGAACCTAGGACCGCATTCCTGCACGTAAATCACAAGGTTTAGGGATATGAAAATTGAGTATATCGAATGATCCAAACACAAAAGAGGGGTTATCATCGATAAGCTAACCTGAAGACGAGCTTTTACTTTCTCTATAGGATCACCATCTTTTCCTTTGGTACCACTTTGTTTACTTTCCTTTTTCTCGAATATGTAGCTGAGTAAGCAGAGAAATGCATTAGTTCAATATATGTTTTCAAAAGAAGAGAAGGAAGAAGAAAAGGTGAAAAGTTTATGTACCGATGATGTCTGAAAAATATAAAGTCACGCTGGTTGTGGAATGTTACGACTCTCCTACCACGGAAATTAGGTTCTTGAGGAAAGAGTGATTGAAAAAACCTGAGAAATCAGAAACCATAATGTCCGCCAGAGATAAAAGAGACCATAGAATAAAACGAACTTGACACTTTGAGAAACTATAATTACCTCCCAACACGATTCCCTAACCGCGTAGTAAAGTTATTTAAAACCAGTTCCGGTTCATGGCTTGTTGGATTTCCATGATTCTGCAATGAAATATTAAACATCCATTTCAGTAACCACTAATCCACACTCCACGCAGGGAAGAAGAATGTCTTGACTTTACATACCTTAATATCCTTCCTTAGAACAAGATTCGACAATTTGAAATGAGCAGTAGGACCGTTTGGCAAACCGATAATAAGTAGCGCATCTACGACGAAATAACAAAAGCTTGAAAACAAACCATATCAAGACGACATCAAAAAAGACATTCAACCGAGAAGTCAACACTAACCAGGTTCTCTACGATTTGTATGAACGACAATGAGAGATGTAAAATCTTTCTTCGTTGCGTATTCTACAATCTGCACAACCACATAACTAAAAGGTTTATAAAGTTACAAAGAGATTAACTTTAAAGAGTCTCTGAAACTAATAGCAAGACCTTTTTCAAATCATAAGTTCCTCTTTTCTGATAATGAGAGTTCGGGATCACCGAAAGCAACTCCGATATAAACGCAGGTCCTCTCTGCAATCCATATAAACAGATATATAAACATTAAAAGAGCTCCAAAAACATTACTTGAAGCAACAAAATCACAAGAAAACTGTAGAATCTTACAGTGGAATTGAAACGACAAGTTGTGATCAAGACTTTAGGTATAATCTCACGTCTCAGGACTGGATTAAATTCATCAGCATCAATATCCGCAAACAACTACAAAATTCATTCAAAGCCAGTAAATAAGCAAAAGAGCACAAAATTGAATGAACATTGAACAATGAAGATCAAAACAAAATCGAAAACATTACTTCTTCATCGTCTGGTTTGCAAACAGTCTCATCAGATTCTCTAGTATTCTCAATTGTTTTCGGAATCATCTTTTGTGGAGGCTGAAAAAGCAAGAAGAAAACGAAATTTCAGATCTCATGACTAAAAAACCAAAAAAACCCAGAAAAATTCTAGAGATCCTTTTACCTCCTCGCCAAGCTCTAGAGCTCGTTTCTCAGCAGCATCACGAGCTTTAA